GGTGGGCCCTGAAGAAGCACCACCAGAGATAGGAGCTCTCCCACCAGGGAAGCCCCCAAGCATTCCACCTGGCATGCCACCAGTCCTCTGGTACAGCTTGGTAATGATGGGGTAATGGTTGCAGACTTTCTGCAGTTCTTTCTGCTTGTGTTTAGCTCCTACCTTCTCTGCAGTCTGATGATTATCTAGCTTACTGATGACTTCATTACCCTTGTCTAGAATCTTCTGTTTGTCCTCATTGATATTGCGTTGAAGTTTCTCATCTTAAACTATTGCACTTATGTTGACTACTTAGGAGGACTCCAGTGAATTCTTGGTAATGCTTTATCTCTCTGCCTTTTCCCTCTTCAGCGTTGTTCTTCTAAGTTTTCTGAACAATACGCTTATTGTCTTACTTGCTCAAGAGGCCCTTGTCATCAATGATGGTGATCTTGTTCTCCTTTCTTGTGCTCTTATCTACAGTAGAAACATTGAGGATGCCATTGGCATCAGTGTCAAAAGTGACTTAAGTCTGAGAAATACTTACTGCAGCGTACAGAAGGTATGCCTGTGAGTTCAAATTTTCCAAGCAGGTTGTTTTCATTGGTCATGGCTCTTTCACGTTGAAATACCGGAATGAGCATGCCCACTGGCTGTTAGACGAGTGGTGAAGATCTGTGTCTGGTTGGTAGCAGTGGTGATACTGAGCTTGATGAGGACATTCATGACTCTACAATACTAAGGGGAAGAGGAGTAACATCCAAGAGCGCCAAATCCTGAACATCTCACAATTGTGTCTAGATAGAGCTGTCTGTCTCCAGTCAGCCAGCTGGAAAGCTGCTCTGTAAAGCCAGAGCTTTAGCAGGATAATGCTTGTATTCAGTTATTTTCCACTGAAGAAGTCTTGCCAAAGCTTCTGAATCTTGAATTGCGGTAGAACCAGCAGGACAATATCATGAACCTGTGACTTACCTAGTTTAGCATCTCAAAGGGCCTTTCCACAGGATCAGAGTGCCACAGAACAGGACAGCATTCAGTTCTTCAAATTCAGTGTGGATAAAGGAGGCATAGTAGATTCTGTCAGTCTCATTACTCATTTTTATTTAGCTTGTCCAGATTATGCAGAATTTAGTGAGAAATTTTTTAAGTTGTTTTCTTTTTCACATTCATTTCCCCCCTTTCCTAGTGCAGGGCTTTGTTTATGTTAGGCAGGTACCATTGAGCTACGTCTCCATGATTTAAAGTTTAAAACATATCAGCTAGTTTCTTTGGAACCCTGGATTTTTATTCATCCATCCATCCATCCATCCATCCATCCATCCATCCATCCATCCATCCATCCATTTTATTATGCAGTGTTCTGCCTGCATGTGTCCCTGCAGGCCAGAAGAGGGCACCTGACTACATTACAGATGGTTGTGAGCCACCAAGTGGTTGCTGGGAATTGAACTCAGGACCTCTGGAAGATCTGGCAGTGCTCTTAACCACTGAGCCATCTCTCCATGCTCTGGATTTTTTTTTTTTTTTTTTTTTTTTTTGATCAGTAGTTTTAAACCTGTGGGCCGTGACCTCCCACACGTGTCACATGTAAGATATTTATATTACGATTCATAACAGTAGCAAAATTACAGTTATGAAGTAACAATGAAAGAATTTTATGGTTGGGACTCACCACAACATAAGGAACTGTATTAAAGGACCAGCACTAGGAAGGTTGAGAACCACTGTAATGACATATATATATGAGATGTCTGGATGTCATATGTCTTCATTTCTGTTCCACGTGCCTAAAAAAAAAAAAAAGGAGATATATTAAAGTTATGCTTATTTTTATATGTTATTCTTGATTTATTTTTATGTGTATGAATGTTTTTGCCTGCATTATGTGTATGCACCATCTGCTTGTCTCGTGCCTATGAAGGCCAGAAAATGGCATTAGATCCCCCAGAAACTGGAGTTAGAAGTGGTTGTGAGCTGCTATGTGAGTGCTGAGAACTGAACCTGGGTCTTATGCAAGATCAGCATTGTTCTTAACCAATAAGACTTCTTTCCAGACTGTAATTCTAATTCAATATTTTAGAGTTCATTTTGTTTTATTCTTGTTTTTAGGGTTTAAATTCTCTTTTCTAACAATGACAACTTAGCTCAGTTTATTTATTAGATTAACCTTCCTCTATGTAACCAATTTCCTGATTACTACTCTCCTCTTGAGTAAGTGCAGATGCCTGCCTTGTTCTCGAGCTGAATTATGAAGAAAAAAAAAGAGAATTTATTATTTATGGCAAATGGTAAATGTCCAGATTGGCTCTATCTTTGGTTCATTTGATTTCTCTATTATTTTTAATTTGAAAAAAAATGTTTCATGTTAGTAGAAACTCTCTATTATTGATGGTTTCCCTAGAAGATGAACAGGTGGACATAAATGATTTAGTTAGGAAGAACACAACACAACCTTAATTTACTCATACAGACAAAGGTTATCTAAAATAAAAACTATAATTTGATTACTGTTGCTTTTCTTTTCTGATGACACTTAGACTAGCATAAAACTTTTAAGCACAAGTTACTTTGCAGTTATGCTGAAAATAAATTTTGAAGCATGAAAATTCTTCTCTCCTTTTAGGAAAAAAAAGGGAACAAATATTAGGTATTGTATTAGTTTCTTTTCTACTTCTGTGATTACAGTACCCAGACTAAAGCAACTTAATTGACCTATACAGTTGTGGGGGTGAGGGGTGGGAGGCAGGCAAGCATGATAGTGGGAGCTTGAGGTTGCCCAGTCAGGAAGCAGAGTAAGAAGATGTGGTACTTGTCTACAAAATCTCAAAGCCCCCACTCCACCCTACCCCATGTCTAACAAAGCTCCACCCTCTAAATGCTTCATAGCCTTTCCAAATAGTGCCACCATCTGGGGGGAAAGTATTCAAACACATAATCTTATGGGGTACTTTTCAAATTAAAATCCCAACAATGACAAATCTTCTAATCCTCCCCAAACAGTTTTACATATAGTATTATTCCCTGTCCTTTCCATAAACCCTCTTTCCCCATCTCATATTTCCAGTTCAGCTCATCCCCCCCAAAAAAAGTTGTTAATTAATGAAGTATTTATTAACCTCTTTTGTAATGGCATCTATAGGCTACTAATCAAATCCTAACCCAGGTGTTAGGTTTAATGGAGTTAATTTATGCTGATCTTATAGCTTTTACCCCCTAAGCTGTTGTCTTTTGGTTTAGTTTTAAACTTAGAGGTTCTTAGTTGATATATCAGAGGACCAAATAGTGTGTACATTTGACTCTGATAGAAGTTATCTGACCTTTTCTTTTGGATATAAATGGTCCATGTTGGGGAGTATAAGGGGCTGCTGTTTTGGTATATATATTTTACCATATTAATTAACAATTAATACAAAATGTATACCAATAAGAAAGTCTTGGCTGAATATTTGATACAGCAAAATATAATGCTTTTTCAACATTTTCCAGGGTTGATCAGCAGTCATTGTTGAGAATGCCACTTCCACCAGTGTGGAAAATGGCAGAAGTAGGTTTAGGTCCATTTCAGATATTGTTGGAATTAATATCCTAATACCAAGGCAAACTTCATTTAATAATTTATGAAACTCAGATCATTAATTCAAAAGCATTCTTCAAATCAAACATTCTTAATACAATCCAAAGATACAGTGTTATTTCCAAACGTTTTTTAAAATGTGTATGCTTGCATAGATTTATATACACCATGTGCGTGTAGGTGCCTAAGAAGGCCAGAGAGGGCATTTGATTCTCTGGAACTGGAATTACAGATAATTAGGAGCCACCTGATTTAGGTTCTGGGAACTGAACCTGGCTCCTTTGCTAGAGCTGAGCCATCTCTCTGGCCCCAAAGATTCTGTAATTTGATACTTATGTACTAATGTAGAAAAATACTAAGTCCTGTGTATTTCTACAAGAGCAGAAACCTTTGTAAGTACAGTTATCATCTGTACTTTAACGCACATTAGTCTTGAATCTGAGCCAAGGTATCTCAAGCAGAATTGGTTGACATTGACTCTGGGTAGTATGATAGCATGTGCAGTGCAGTGCCGTGCACAATGTTCATATGGTCTGTACAGAGCCAAGGCTATAGTGAAGTTGTAAAATATAACTCTGGATAAATACTGACAGTAATATCCTGTTTATTACACACATCTTTATTTCATATCATTTTAAAAATCAGACATCTAAAATGCTTGAAGATAAGTGACAAAACAGGTTATTAATGAGAGGATACTCTTAAGAACTCAAATTTTATCTGATGTATTATTTGTATACACTTAATTTTAAGCAGTGTCTTTGCTACCTATTATCGGTATCATTTTTCAGTACTGAAACAAGCCACTTTAGTCTTCTGCTTTTGTCTTTTTTTTTTTTCCTTCTCTCCCTTCCTTCCTCCCCCTACCCTTCAGTTCTCTGAATGTGTAACTCATCCTTAATGTGCAGGTCTTAAAAGAACTTGGATCTTGATGTCAGCAAAATGTGGTTTGAAATCCTGGCTCCAAATTATTAATGTGCCATTGAGTAAAAAGTTCTTTAATTTTCTATGTCTTACTTTGCAATGTTTATATAAATTTCCTGGATTCTTTTTAATGGTCTCTGAAAGGTTGTGATTTAATATCAAACTTTAATAAGCATGTTTAGTAAGGATCTGTATATGAAAGTCACACACACAGAGGTCTATTAAGTGGTATTGCTTAAAAATACTAATTCTGCTGTTACATGGCCCATTTGGGAATGTTGTCTATTCTAAGTAACAAACTATCTTCTCCTTGAGTTTGATTTTGATGTAAGCATGTTGCATGTCAGCAGTCAGCTAATGTGCTCTGCTAATTTGATAGTAGAAGAAGATTCATATATAGTGAATATCTGCTCAGATGCTTTTTGTACACTCTCCCCTGTTTTTGCATTTATGCTGTTGTCATGTTTTAAGTAGGACTTTCTCCTGACAGTGTGTGTTAATAACTGGAAAATTCCCTATCAGTAGACTAGCACCATCTTGACAAGCCTGTGTTCTGCTTCTACCTTGCTAATTGTTTCCTTGGGATTATTTGGATTGTGTAGAAAGCCTTTTGCAAATCCTCTTATTACTGAAGTCATTGTTGCCGGCAGGAATAAGATTAAAGGTGCTTAAGTCTGTAGAGTTGTTTCTAATTTGTTCATGTCATTTCAGTGGCATTTTAACAGAACTCTGTCTCCTGTCCCTCCCTTTTCCCCTGGTACTATCTCAAGTTAGGTCCAAGATGCCAGACCATTGGAAGAAATCTCATTTTATCCTCCTAATTATTATGCTGGCACTCGGGAGATAATTTTTCCCTTCATGCACTGCCAATTAATATGCAAATAAGCTGATAAATATTTATGTATTCATTTAAATTATGCAGGGAGTGCTTTCAGTGTATTCTGTAAATGAATTGTTCCTGGACTTCAAAGTGCTAGCTGCTGTGCTAACGAGGAGAGATTTGCATAAGGCCCTAATCACACGCATACTGATTAAGCTTCATTATGGAAACTGCCAGCTGCAATCTTTGTTTCTATTTTATTACAAAAAGGGGAACTTTTCATGCTTCAGTTGCCTTGACAATGTCAGTCCTAGCTGGTAGAAGAGACTAAAACTCCTCTGAGCAACTGAAGTTTCCTTATTCAGTTGAAGATTGCTATGGTGTAACTGAAGTTGTATTTTGCTTCTCTTGTTAATTCACTTTCCACTCCTCCCACCCCTGTTCTCTTAAGAACATAGTACAGATTTGTTAGAAATAGTAGTACCTTCTTTTCCCCCATCCCAAACGATACCTGTTCCTTCTTGCTTTGGACTTTCTGCACCTCCTGAAGATTTTACAGCAATGCTGGACTGCAGTGACTGTGTTCTAGGTGGGTACCAGCACAGTTCTTTTCTTACAGCTTCAATATGGAAATAGCATGTGTGGGATTGACTATGCATAAATGCTCAATCACATATGCAACTAACATGGGGGAGGGGAGGGCTTGGGCAGAGAAGGAGCAAAGCATTTGCAAGGCAAGGGCATGCTTGAGTTTGCTCTAGGTCCCTCCCTAGGACGAGGTCTTCTGGTTCAGAGGGTATTTTCAGCAAATAATGTATTTGAATTTGGCTTGCATGGAGGACATTTTTACGTTTTTGGAAATTTCTATAGAAAGTAGTATATGTAGTTGAAAACACATTTTAAATCAGAAACAAAATATGTACTATATCAAAATAAGGTATACATACTAATGAAATATTTTGCCTATCTCATAAGTATGCCTCATACAAAACCAAAACTACTAAATAAAAAAATTAGGGTGGTGTCATGGTACAGATTAATACCGTTAGTATTATTACAGAGGAAAATTACAGTGGCTACTGCGCTGTTGATCAATTTCCAAATTTTAGAAGTTATGAGCCATTTTCAAATTTTGCCTGTGACTAGTCATTTTTGATTTCTTAAAACCAGCTTTTTTTTTTTTTTTTTTTTTTTTTTTTTTGTATTTT